CATTTTCTTTCAAAATGGAAGAGTTGTGAACAGTTATATCTATCATATTTTGTAAAATGTTAGTTGCCTGGGATATTTTCAGAAAGAAGGCACACAATGTGCATTACATAACCATGCATATTTAGTCCATGCAGAAGAAATGTGTGGCATATAAGTAAAATTTCATTATAATCTACTGAGACTTTGTTCCATTTAAAGAAAATTACAACAATATCGAAGAACAAAATCTTATTAAGCTATCCCATTTTGTATCAATCACTGTTTCCATGTTTAAATGAAAATAAAACTAAGAAATCTTTTGATTCTAGATTTCAAAGATATAAGAGTAGTGTGCATTTTCCTTCTACCTTTCCTACACTCATACTTCTCAAGTTAGCTTACCTAAGTAATAAGATGTCAGAAAAACGAACAACATATTGTACAAACATTGTGAATATAACTCGACTGTGGTACATATGATTCCATCCAATCCTAATGACTCAATGAGGTGCTTATAGAAGAGAAGATTGAGGCCCAGGAAGTTTAATTTATTAGCTCAAGGACCCAAGGATGTGTGGTGTGTGTGTGTTTCTCTGTGTGTGTGTGTGTGTGTGTGTGTGTGTGTGTGTGTGTGTGTGTTAGAATAAGTCAAACACAGAATTCTGTAAGTTTAAAAACTATGCCAACACAAATAGTTAAGTTTCTGAATCCTGGATGTCACATAAAAACTCTGAACAAAATACCTTCCTCCTTAACTATGCAAATTAGCTTGACACTACTTTTGTTATCTTGGAAATGCCAACATCTAGACCTTAAGAAGGCCATCCCTGCACTGCCTTTCCTCCCAAGATCTTTTGGAAATGTCTCTGCACCAGCAGTCTTGCCTTGGGCTCAAGGGTTTTTAGAAAGAACAGACGCACTGGCATGGCATGCTGAGTAAATTCCCAGTCCTCACTCAGCCAAGGGCTAGGTATTCTCAGCATGTCTGTGACCCATAAGCTACATGGTGGTTTCACAGCTCTATGTACCAGGTGTACTACATTAGACAGGAAGCATGATGCTGGAGTGCCCTGAAATCCAGGCTATATTCTTCTTATCAAGTTAGATCCTCCAGAGTGGGCTTTGTCTGCATAGAAGTGTTTTGTTCTAACTTCACATAAAGTTATTAAAAACACAGCTACGTCTGGATAATTCTATCTTTTCTTCATTCTCTTTACCTATCTAGCACACACAGCAAATGGCTGTGTCTCTTGGATTCCAGGTCAGTGGAAGTTATTTGTCAAGAATCTCTCAGGAGCCGTGGCTTGCAAATGCCTTGGAAGGAAGGTCAGAGGATGAAGAAATAGTTTAGTTTATCTTAAGCTGCTGATATGTTTTATGGATAATATTTTTGTGGGTTTCTTTCCTCAAAAAGTCAATGAGATGAACAGGAGTTAGAGTATATTCTCAAGCAGACAGGCTGAATACCATAGACCTGACTGCAGACGTGGGAGATGAACACACAAAAGTAATATAGTCGAGGGACATTCAGGGACCGTGGTGGCAAGGACAAAGGGAGTGAAAGTGGCACACTAGGAGCAGCTGGCCTTGGTGTGACTTTATGCAGTAGCCAGGACAACACTGGAGGCATTCGTTCTCTGTCCTAGCACAGCTTGCTGCCTTGTGCAGCTGAGTGACACAGAAGGCAAGAGGCTGATCTGTACTCATTAAAGACACGTGTCTTAATCCCAGGGAGTCAGTGGAAGCAGCTTATACTTGAAGAAGACCCTGGGAGCACTGTTGAATTGGGTACTAGTTTGCAAAAGAAAAAAAAAAGGTGTCTAGAATATCAGAACAATTTAAATACAGAAGTGTTGGTTTACTGCAATTTTCTTGTGACTAGTTATGCTAAAACGTCATGACCAAGTAATGTACCAGCAAAGCAATAGTTTCAATTTAGTCGCTCTGGTCTCTTGTTAATCATAATAATTCTTCAGCTCCAGCGGGCCAGAATCCTGGATTCTTAACTCAAAAAATCACACAACTGGCCATGACAGAGTCTTTGTTCCCTCTGAACATCACGTTAGGCCTCTACTGCCTGCACTGCTCTTACTAATACCTTTCAAGTTTCCACAATAGCAGCTCATTAAGCTGTGAGCACTCTGTGGCTTTTCCAGCCTAGTTCTACAGTCCTTCTTAAATCCTCCCCACAACATGGTTAGGTTTGTCAAAGAAATAACCAGACCTGGTACCAATTTCTGTCTTAGTTAGGGTTTCTATTGCAGTAATAAAACACCATGACCAAAAGCAACTTGAGGAGGAAGGACTTTATTTCAGCTTATAACTCATATTCCATCACTGATGGAAGTCAGAATGGGAACTCAAGCTAGGAACCTGGAGGCAGGAATTGAAGCAGAAGCCATAGAGGAATGCTGCTTACTGGCTTGCTCAGCTGCTTTCTTATACAATTCAGGACTACTGCCCAGGGATGGCAGCTGTGCCCCTACCATGGGTTGGGCCTACCTACATCAATCTTCAATCAAGAAAATGTACTACAAACTTGCCTACAGGCAATCTGTTGCAAGCATTTTCTCATATAATAAGGTTCTTTTTCCCAGGAATTTTTTTTGTCAAGCTGACAAAAACAAAACAAAAAAAACCCCCCAACTCCCTCACCCCTGCTGCCAAATCAACCAACTAACCAACCAAAAAACTCAACCAAGACACTCACTTAGTTTTGGAACAAGTATTCTATAAAATCACATTTTCAAGCTAAGACATGTGCTTGTCTTATAACAATTATTCTGAACACAGTGGAAATGTTGGTCTTCCTCAGGCCCACCACTTATCACTCTCAACAGCGGCTAGAGTAGTTGACAGAGCATCTTGTTTTAAAATCTCATCTCTTCTGCTGCTCCCGAGAGGAGCTGCCTCTTATCTTTATTGTGTTCTACCCCAGTTGACTGTGCCTCCTCCTTTTTACCACCTGCACTTGGACATTTCTGTAACACTTTCTTCTTGATGGTCCTCAAGGGAAGTCATCTACAGACAAGTGAGCTCTTATCAAATTAATGTGACTCCCATCTTCCTCCCCAGTTTTTCCTCTAGAAGCAACCATAGGAAACCTAATGATGGCTACTCCGGGGGAGATGGACTGGTAGGAGGGTTGGCAGAAGAAATGGAGGGCCTTTCCCATGTCTGCATTTAATACTGTTAACTAACTGGAATCCTGAATATCACATGTATTTTTGTTTGACTTTAAGACTATGAACAGTGGTTACCTGGCCAGGGAGATTTTCTCCTTTTAAATTTAAAACAAGTACTGAAATGGTACCTCTTTGGGTGTTACATATATGTATATGTTAATATACATGGCATAAACATACACAGAAATAAAAACTTAAAAGATATTTATGGTAACGAAAAATCTAAACCAATTAAAAGGAATACATGGAATTAAATCTTCAAAAAACAAATTTAACAGTAGCAAGTGTTTTTTATTGTAATTTATAATGCAAAATATAAAAAAGCTTTCTAATAATTTTCTAAAAATCATTTATTGCCCTAAATCATAAACCCATTTATATTCCTAGTTTTCTTTTAAAAACTCATGCAACTACTATACTACTGTATGAAGTTAATGGTCATGGAGAGTTGGAAATTCACTTAGTTTCTTCATTTTCTTTATTACTTTGCTGCTGTTCAGCACAGACAGAAATTGTCAAGTCTTCCTTTCACATTCTTCAGGAAGTATGCTAGGTCAACACAAGCGACTTATCTAGCTCAAGAGACGCAGGGGTCCTCTCCTTGTTCTGCCCTCCCCAGGTTCATCGTCACTGGTTAAGAATCCACGTGTCATCAGGTAGCTGGAACCTCACATCAGACTGACACACTTTCTATCAGTGTGGGGGCAAGGGGAATTCTGAACACATTCAGAAAAAGCTAGTTCCCAACTGAGTTGGCCTGACTGGCCATCTAAAGCAAAAGTAATATCCAAGAAGCTGTTGACACGGTGGGAAACCATGGGACCAACAAAACCAGCTTGGCACAGAGCAGGTACTTAACAAATATTTGTGGGATAACCTTGAATAAATATCACTGGATACAGAATCTCAGTAAAAGAAAGAGAATGATGGACAGTACTTTAATGTGAATAGAATTTGTTTATTATATAGATATTTTAAAGTAACTGAAACACAGTATGGGTTTTAATTAATACTGTATTATTCTCATTTTTGCTGAATTTGGTGAAAGAATCTTTAAGTCAAAATTTCCATGTAACATATTCTCTTCATTTCACCAAAAAGGTGCAAAGTAAAAGATGAGTGGATCAATCCTAGACATTTATGTTTAAAATCCTAGGAAGTATTGAAAATGGATTACCTTTTTGTATTTCTTAAACCTAACACATGGCTAATATTAAAGTGTTCACTCTGATTGCAAACCATCACTCACTGTTTATGGTGACTGGCTGCATTGGTTAAATTGTACAACAAAAGTTTTAATATGAAGGTAGTACTTATTTCAAAAACAGGTCATAAAAAAAGCCTTGTAACAAAACAGGTTGTAATTTTTAGGTAACATATGGGTAGTCGTAGCATAGAAACAAATCTTAGGACAAATTTGTCAAATATTGTCACAGAGAACCTATCTATTAACGAAAATCCTTTCTGTGAAAGCTATCCTACAGAGCACAATGGCAAAAAATGACCTCAAACACAGGTTGAATCTTATTTTGCAAAGAAAATGTCAAGAGCCTGATGCCACCAAGCTAGGACCCGAGAGGGAACTTTTGTTTTACACAACAGTGCCACTCAGTGGCTAAACTATGGTAGTGGACCTATATACTGAACTGAGGGTAAGGCCAGAAAAAAAGCTTTGGGTTTGGGAGAGGGTTGTGACACTAAAGGTAGTCTGGTGGGTAGTGTGGCAAATGCCAACAAAGGAGAGAGACAGAGAGAGGGGGGGGGGAGAGAGAGAAAGATGGGAAGAGGGGGAGAGAGAGACGGAGAGAGGGAGAGAGCATGTTGTGACAACTGTACCTTGGAGGTCAGTTAGAGCCTGGACAGGAACAGAAAGCTGAGCACCGCTTCCTGTAACTACGTCGCCTGGATTTTATAAGAGAAAATAATTAGATATCATAAAAGGACAATAGAAAACCTTTTGTCTTTCATACTCAATGTTGTAATAATTTTATCAATTCCTAAATATATAGAACAGGAAATACAGAGGAAACTTGAAAAATATGAAATATTTTAAAGTCAATAATGTCATTAACAGGGTGTTTCCTCTGGAGACTCTCCTGTGTTTTTACCAAAGGAAAAGCATACAGGCTCCTACTACACTAGGGACAGGAAACCTCAATGATCAAAAGGTTTTTCAGAGTAGATTTTATGTTGTAATAAATATTAGTGTGATTTTTATATATCTTTTAAAAAAAGACTTATTAAAATGGAATTACACATAATTTATCAAGAGGCATTCTTTTGAAATTGATTTCTTTCTATATCAGGAAATACTTTAAACTAAAATTTGAAGCAAATTCATAAGACCTAAGCAAGCTCAAACTTCACGTTACCCAGGGAAAATATTTCCAAACTCACCACATGTATTTATAAATCATCTGGGAACCACACACCTTTAACTTGACGTCTGTTTATAGGGAATATTTCATTACAAACTGGAAATATAGTAAATGCTTGTACTAAAGCAGTGCTCAAATAAAAAGAAACAGTTGTAAATACAGAAAGGAAATGGGGCTGGGGAGAGCAGGCTTTAGTAACTCGGCCGAGAAAGCAGAGGAGCACAAAGGGGAGGTCGCCGAGAGCAGAGGCACAGACGTGGGGTTTCCACTCTTCTTTCTGGGGCGACAGTGTTCAACAGTGAACATGGTCACCCCAATCAGTAATGCCCTGGAGAGAGCAGTGTCTGAAGGCTGTTTGGTGGTTACTCAGCAAAAGAAATCAAGTCTTTTAAAAGGTACCAGATTTCCCAAGTGTAATCTTAACAAGCTTGCTTCTTTTAGCTTTTCTACAATACACACATACATACACACATACACACATATTACTACTATATACATTTACTAATATACAAAAATTACTAATTAATATACTATACATTATATAAAATTTACTAATCAATATATGTATAACAGTATATTAGTAAAAATTGACTTTTAAATTAAACATCCCTCATTTTAAATAACATCCCTCAATGTTCTGGCCACTTAATAATACACTGTGATTTGTAGCACGATCACATGGTGTCATCACATAATTTTTATCAACTAAAAGAACACACAAATGTTCTCCTATAAAAAAATAAAATCTGTTAATAATATATCCCAAAGAAGTGCTTAAAGTAGAAATGGTCACAATCTGTGTTTTCATAATATAGTTAACTAAATTGACTGATAAAGGGTGGCCTGATTTCTGACCATTTTCAAGTTTATACCAGCTACCAATTTTGCTATAAAGATTTTCAAAGATCTCTCGTTGCCTATGTAGACATGAAGACTAATTTTAATATAAATATTACTAAGATGAGGGAATAGTTCTGCCGTCTTCTTTTCTTCAGTGGATACACAAACTACACCATGCATTTTAAGTTACATGTGCATGATCAGGGAGGCACAACTTCCCTTTACAATGACAGATAACTAACCTATAAAAGCCACAATGCTTTCATCTTTACAAACAACCACACTATCTCTCTTCAGAGGCATGAGGTGGATGGTTCTGCATGGCGTGGGACTCCAAACAGGCTGCTGTGCTCCAGAGCTGTCAGTGAGGACAGTGCAGCAGAATGTCTGGGAAACTAGTCTCAAGAGCCAAGGCTGGAGAAGCACTCTTCAATGTCAAGTTCATGATACATTTGTTACCCAAAGCGCCACAGGGTTCTGAGCTTGCAGACTCCCTAAGCATCAGTGCAGAACGGCTGCTTGAGGTGAGAAGACAGTCAGAGCTTCAGGGGTTGTTTAAGATTTACAAGAAGGTGAACAGAGGAAGATCATGAGATGAACTGCTCTTTTCTGTCTCTGTCAATGGTTCTCTGGGACCTTTACTTCATTCAATCTTTTATATAACTGGCAACACTAGCAGGGATTTTTGCTGTTAAAATTCAGTGCAGTCAAGTTTTTGGGGTGGGTGGGTGTTGACATGAGAATGACGAGCCAGAAACAACAACAAGGGCAGTCCTTTAAGCCCGGGTTGTCTGAAGCTCTGCTGTCTCCTCACAACTGGAGATCAGTTCTCACCAATTGTTCCATCTCCAGCACTTCCTTTTCACTTCTGTGATATTAATGCTTGACATTTCCTTTGAGACACAACTTTATATTTCTATCGTCATTTGGCTTGGGTTCTCAGAACATTTAAGCTAAAGCATTAAGAGATCCTCTGACTCATTTGCCTGCCGTCAGTTAGAATTACAACAGACTAAAGCTTGTTATCAAAGCAATATTGAAATCATATTTGTTTGGAACAATAAACAGTACAATTAGGAGATATATAAAATAACATTCATTTCCATTCTGGAAGTGGGCATGTCTCCTGGCATTAAAATACATTTTCAACATGTTAATGATTTGATGTCTCCTTTTCTTTAAATCATATGTGACAGTTCTACATTATAAAGAGGAGAATGTAATTTTAAATGAGATGTTCTCATAGAAGGTAGGCTGAATACTCTAATCCACATTAAATACTAATCATATAAACCTTAATATTTCACATAGACAAAGAAATATAAAAACTAAATAACATGATGACAGCAAAGGAGGACTTCAGATGTCCATGGAGTGGACACATGTCCATGGCACATTAACTGGCACCACCAGGGGCTAAACTCCAATTTGTAAAATCTTTACAATAATTTTGTATGTGATATCCTTAAGCAAAGTATACAGTGTTAACTTTGTTTGTGCTGACATTACTCTTGTTAATGACAGCACTAAGTACTGAATGCTGCTATTAACATAAGTATTCCTTTAGGACATGGGTCAAGTTTCAGTCGGGATGTTCACTGGGACCGATGGTCACAAACCGCTATGCTTCTGTGCAGGTTTTGTCATCATGTTGCTATTTCTTGCTCCAGGGTACAGTCAAGATTCCACCAGTCAAAATTAGTGTAGCTGTTTCTAATCTGCTATGAAAAGAGGGGCCCAGCATGGAAAAGAAGGGTGAAGGCTCTGAGTAAGACTGTACGCGGAGGGCTCCCTGTGGGCAGAGTGCTCACGGGAGGGAGCACTGGACAGCTGAAACCAGTGAGAGCAGCGGGAGCGCTCAGGGCAGGGCCTTCCTCACCAAATGAGGTCCGTGGGCTCCACAGGCCCAGGTTTTCTCTGCCTTTTCACCCATTCTATGGCTGTACCATGTTGTGCATGGACTTGGATGCTTACTTTGGCTGCTTAAGGTTTTGTTTAGCTTTTCCCCCTAAAGTTTCAGTTTGTATTCCTTAGCAATGGAACAGTTGGATGCCATGGTCCCTAATGCTGTGACTAGTACAGCCCATGTTACTGTACAATCCCATCTCAGATTCTTCTGAAAGATGCTCTCAGAGAACACAGTCAACTGATGAGTTCTATGCTGAGAAAGTTCATACCATCATATAAGATGGGCATCTATATGACAAAAACGTAAACCACACTGTGATAATACATTGTCAAACACCTCATAAAATATACTTAATCAAGAAGAATACAATATCTACTCTCTAAGTTAAAAAGGATGACACACAACATAGTTTCAAACAATTAAATTTTCATGGATTTCTGCTTCTGGGATGTTGTTTTCTCTCAGGCAAGTGAGAAAATCTCAGGCTACACTTCAGGTTCTTTAGATTTACTGGAATTTTCTCCTACCTTTGTTCAACTGTACCGGCATGCTTTCGGATTTCATCAGCCGCTGCTGCTGTTGCTGCTGCTGTTGCTGCTGCTGCTGCTGCTGCTGCACATGATACCTTGGGGCTTCTTCGGAGGATCTGGTGGGGATGGCAGCCGAGAAGGAGCTGCTGCTGTGGCCCCCAGGTATAGGACCCCCCGTACTTCCTGGAGCTGAGGCTGGGGAAATCAGCTTTCTTCCAAAGTTAATCAGGCTGTTGGAGACCTTATGTATATTCAGGGGAGCACCTCTGGCACTGGTCCTTTGAGATGAAAAAGAGAAAAATCAGATGAAGTGGGAAAGCAGTATTTAACTTGGAGCATAATGCTATTTCACGTATTCCACGGGAATAAAAACAACCTGTCTAACCTTGAAGAGGGCTGTTTACTAAATCAGCGTGCAAAGAAGCACAGGCTAACATGGCCACAGACGAGTCATGTGGCTCATGGAGAATGAGCCTCATCATCCCTTCCCTCCACAGGGCACACATGGGACAACACTGCTAGTTCCTAAGGTTGCAGCTGCCCGAGCGGACACACGTCTAACCCCGGATATTCTTGTTAAAAAGAAGTATGTGTTAGCCCAACTTTCTTGCTGAAACAGAATACCCGACTTAGCAACTTAGGGAAGAGGGGTAGGGCAGAAAGGGGAAACTAGGGCACAGGAAAGAAAAAAGCCCTTTGCCCTAGAGCCTGCTTGATGCCTCCAGCCAGCTAAGCAGCAAGGACTTACACCATTTGCTCAGCAGCTTTCTTGTCTCCTAAAGATAAAACCTGTAATTTTCTAGGAATTTTACCAGAAATCCCTGTACAGCCTCAGTGGCTCCTGATTTTACTTTATCAGATGATAATCCCATCCAATGCATCTCTGCAGCCACTTATAACTCATCGGTCAAACACAGACAGGATAGAAAGGAAGTTTCACACAAGCTTTTGAGATGTAATGTGAGAGCCACCAATATAGTATATATGGCTAATGCTGAGACTCTTAATTATAGCTTTCCTTTTGCAAACTCATGCCCTACCCTTGGGCATGTCTCATTCTTTTCCAGAGTCGCTCTTTTTCTCTTTACCATCCTGCTTAAATCTGCACCACAACGTCTTTCAACAAACCAGGACTCTTTTTTTGAGAAACCCCACCCATACTCTGAGGTGTATCTTTCTTTCCAAGTGCCACTTTACCATACCTCTTATCTTTGGACTTAAGATCTATACGAAAATCAATCAATCAATCTCTCTCTCTCTCTCTCTCTCACTCTCTCTCTCTCTCTCTCTCTCTCTCTCCCTCTCTCTCTCTCTCTCTCTCTCTCTCTCGGTTTTTCAAGACAGGGTTTCTCTATGTAGCTTTGTGCCTTTTCTGGAACTCACTTGGTAACCCAGGCTGGCCTCGAACTCACTGAGATCTGCCTGGCTCTGCCTCCTGAGAGCTGAGATTAAAGGCGTGCACCACCACTGTCCAGTGAAAATCTCTCTTTTAATAAACTCCAACTACGGGCAAGAAACTCCTAAAAGTTTATTACCTCCAAAGACGCGTTACTTCTTACTTTCCATCATCTTCCAATAATGTCATCATATTAGGCATCTATGAGTGGTTAATACACTGAATAAGTCAGAGCCCTCATGATCCAGTTACCTCTTAATGGTTGGATACACCAGCTAGACACATGAAGCTTTTGAGGAGAATATTTTATATCCAAACCACATTAATAAAAAAAAACCACGTAAATATGTATATGATTTAAAATCTGCTTTGTGGTGTAAAGGAGACCTACAAAGAAAGTTGGACCTCTGCATTAAAGATCCACCAGCTAGCAGGTATCAGCCCTACCCCCACCATTCTCCTCTCACACTAGCTTTCTTACCTTCCATGGTTTTCTAGGATCTGTGTTATAAATGAGTCTGGCAAAGAGAGAGCACCAAATGAATATTTGTCATATGAACAATTTCTTCCCAGATGATTCAGTTTTGTAGTGTACCTCAGGGCTATTATCCTAAAGACTGGTTATGATCATAAATCGTTTTAGTTGCAGGAGGTAGTGCAACTCCATGACAATACCAAAGTTTCTATTTTTTACTTCTCAGATCCTTAGTAGACACTTAGTCTCTTAAGGAGTTTATTAGGTTTTCGTCACCTTGTCACCTCCTTCTCCCAGATCTACTTGGCAGCCCTTTTAAGCACCTCTCTTTTTCATATGGCAGCTATATGCTGGTGTTACTAGCTGTCACTCTGAAACAGAACCAGTCTATAGTTCTGTAATAAAAAGGAAACACCACCATGTTTCTTCCTTCTATAAAGTTTTCTCTAATGATACTAGCTAATGTTATGAGCTACATACTGGAGGGCTTACATTGCATCAGAGAAGGACTAATCAAATTTAAAAGGGTTATAAAAGAAAATTTATTTACTTCTAACTTAATGCAGTATAAAAGTAATTTAATAAAATTAATTCAAATGATCCCTATTGTATCAAGGTTCATACTTGTGGAATTGAGCTATTTAATGTTTCACCAAAATTTTGTTTAAAATGTTTCCTAGTGGAAGTAAGGTTATATAGTACTTAGGCAGCACTTGCTTTTCAGCTTTTACTGGCTTCCTAATGATGCAGGACATACTCAATTTGCATACACCATAGTTTGCAAAAGAGAAGGATTTTAGTCCATGTTTACTGACTAAAAACAATGAATGAAGTAAAAAGGACTCATTGATTCTAGACTAATGAAGTAGTCACCCCTGCTGCTGTTACTCAGCAGCTTGCACACAAGCCTATTCCTAGTGAGTGCCAGCACAAAGATGGCTGCCACATTCAGCTGCATTTCAGTCTTGCTTGTGTGCAAATCAAGATCCATAATTCAAAGATATGAAGAAGTTTATAATGTTGTTACCCCTTTATATAAACAAAAATGTACTAGTCAAATTCCCATATTGCCAGTTGTGAAATTTATATGTTGATACAAGTACCAAGAAACAGCTACAGCATTATCAAGAGAGTGTGGTTAATGTACCTTCATTACTACTAATAACCACAAAAACATATAGATCAAGCTTGTGCTGAGAGATTTTTCTTTTCATCTGAATAGCTTTTAAAAAGAGATGAGTTTCTTTTTAAAATGTTTTTGTCTTTTTTAGAAACATACTCTTCTTGTACTATTCAGAACTTCTAGAAGCATATTTTCTTTTAAAAACAACTCTTGAAGGTGAGTGTTTTTAAGATGTAAGCAATAGCAAATCATGTACTTTCAGGAAAAGCACGTTTTCCATGGCTTGTTTTTTACATCAAAGTTATTCAGTTTAGTGCTGAATAAAGTAGTGATATTCTTCACCTGAAGTACTAAACACCTTGCCACAGTACTAGAGGCTGGAAGTGTACTCGTCAGGGGAATGAATGCAGTTGTTAGGTCCCTGGAGACCGAGTCTCCACTAGTACTGTCTACTGGCAGGAAGGCAGCGCAACATGAGGAAGGCCTTAGAGCAGGCCGGGGGCTGAGACTTTGGTGCCACCTTTTCAGCAGCATGGGCACTTTCGGAAGAAGCAAGAATCTCTCTGAAACACTCACATCATAATTCAGCCTTGACTGGACTATTCTGGGACTCCTTTTGCTCAGTTTCAGTGACTCTGGCTGCCTTTCCTACCCTGTCCCCCATTCCCCATTCAGTTGAAAGAGCTCTAGAATCTTCACCCCCTTAAGTGGCAGTCACGACCCACTTTCACCCAACTTCCAAAGCTTTTCTGAAGCTGTAAACAAAAAACAACCCTTCCCCCCAATAAACAAGCCAAAAATACCCTAAAAAAGACCCCAAAAGCCACACAAAATTTGTTTACTGCAATAACTATAGTACAATTTTCTTATTCTTGTCTCGATTTTTGAAAGATTCATTTTCAATTTATTTTAAAGTATTTCCTTCCCCTGCATTCTGATCTACAGTTTTCTTATTATTTCTTTTTGCTATGTTCCCTTCCCCAAGGGTGAATGCTTGGTTTGTTCATTCAGTTGTTCATTTACTTATTCATTCTTCATTCTCTGTCTCTCCAATAACAGCTTTTAAAGGTATATATTTTCATCTGATTATATTTCCACTCTCACTTTTCTTAAGTCTACTGACACAATTGTTACATACTATCTCAAAAGAGATAGTAATTATTATGAATAAAAAGGTTAGCACTGATAAATTGATAGGTATAAAGTACACCCTGGAGCTTACCTAATTGGGTCTGAATAGTTTATAACATTGGTTAAACTAACAATAACATGTAATTAGCAACTATAGATTAATCATAGGATATAAAAACATTAACCTTCCGAGGATATATCTACAGGAAATACTTCTCTTCTTGAGTGTCTTTCCCTTATCGTCTGGCCTCATACACCAGAGCTATATGAATCGTTCAATATGTAACCATAGCTTACACTTACAGTCTTAAGGGTCAAGCAAAGAGCCTCTGGCTTAGAAGGACACACAAAAATGGAAGAGGACATACTTCTAATTTGTTCACTTACTGAGAATTTTTTTTCTCTGCACTCTCTCCATAATTTGAGAATTGCCAAATACCTTCACAAAAATTCAGGGTAGTTGCCGTTAATCATGTATCAAGAACTAACTGTTAGAGCCCAAAGGCAGGGGTAATGAAGTCAATAAAGAATAAGGAAAATGTGAGTCCATAAAAGACAACAGTAATATTTTTTTTTTTAAATGAAGGCATACATTAGATATAGAAAAGGAGGAGAGTTAATTTTTTTTTATTTAAAAAATATGTAAGCTGGGCGGCGGTGGCACATGTCTTTAATCCTAGCACTTGGGAGGCAGAACACGGTGGATTGCTGTGAGTTCAAGGCCAGCCTGGTCTACAGAGTGAGATCCAGGACAGCCAGAGCTACACCGAGAAACCCTGTCTCGAAAACCAAAACCAAAACCAAACAAAAAACCAAACAAAAACAGGTAAGATGTCTGCAATACTAACTTTTTAAATGGCTAAGAATGTGAAGTGGAAGTCTAGCTAAATAAAGATAGAATCTGGGTTCCTAGATGTAAGTTCTTCCCCATGTCCCTACAGTTTTAATGTTACTCCTGCCCAAAATCTTTCAAAAATTGTACAAATCCAAGTGTTGATCATAAAAGTTACCTGAAAATTCAAAGACCAAAAACAGCCAAATGAGGAAAAGGAAGAAAGTTGAGAAGACAGCCTACCTAAAAGTTAACAGTTACTAAAATGTTCATAATGGAAGTCCAGTGTCTTATAAGAGAAAGGGCAGAGTCTAGAAAGGA